TTATTTGAAAAGTTTTTGTTTTCTCGATGCTTTGAAATACACTTCGTGCATTATGAGACGTTTATTATTGAATACACTCTGAATTCATAGTTTTCCCCTACTTTGCTATGGACAATTAATAATTATGAAGATGAAGAAGATGATGATGATGAGGAGGAAGCTGTGCAAGATTAATTAACAAGCTCTTTGATGTGAAATGTCAAGCGAGGCCCGTAGCCTAAGCTATGGTTGGGAATTTGGAGACATTATCGTCGTCGTCAAAATGTTCAATGCACACAGTCGGACAATAAATGATTTATGATGTTTTGTATAGAAAGTAATATGAAACTCATAAAATATTAGTTCAGGCATTCATTTATCTGTCTGTGGAAAATATAACATATGAATCATACAAAATTTAAAAAAATAAAATAAAATAAAAATATGTAAAATACACTAAATCAAAATGGAATATTCACTGCCTGTTGCATCCAGTTTTAGTACGGTATTGCAGGGGTTCAGAAGGTTTTACAGTATAACCAATCCCCGTATTTCTGATAGATTGCTGATTAAAATGTAAAATATTTAAGATTTTATATTCAGTACCGGTACATTCTCAAATGTTATGAAAATCTCAATAGTCCTATCCTAAAATTACGTTATATTCATGCACCGAAGTAGAAAGTTTAACTTAATAATTTTGATATGTTTTATGTTTTTTGTTGAATGGTTTTTAATTATATTACAGTCTAATATGACCACAACATAAGGAAGTCCTCTCTTTTAAACTTAAACTTTGCGTATCTCAATAATATACATATATATATATATTTTTTAAATCAAGAAAGTCCACTCGTTAAATTAATATAGTATAGAGAATTTTGTCCGTCAATCTCAGATATCCAAATTTTAGGAAATTACGTTTTATGCATTCACCGACATGAGAACTTTAACCTAATAACTTTGATATGTATATATTTTATGTTGTTTGTTGAATGGTTTTTAATGATATTATCAGTTTTATATGACCACAACATAAGGAATTCCTCTCTTTTAAACTTCTAACCTTCTAAACTTTGCGTATCTCAATAATATACATATATTTTTACGTTTTATGAAAGCACCGACGAGGAAAGATTAAACATAATAATTTTGATATGTACATGTTTTATGTTAAGTGTTGATTGGTCTTAGTTAATAATATTACAGTTTAATGGCTTAATGTTAATAATATTACAGTTAATGGTTTACAACAGTTTAACGGTTTAATGGCCCCGAAACCCTGAACCCCGACCTGGGGCCCTTGGCGGCCCCCTAGCCCCAATCATCAGTGCTCGCGATTCGCTCGCAAACTGACCACTTCAATTCTCGTGGCTACGGTCTTGTAAGGCTGTATGAATACAGGCCTTATAAGCATTCAAAATTACTAAGTTGTTAGAGCTTCCGGGAACTTAGCCCCCCCCGGACCCACTACCGGACGACCCCCTTCAGAGGTTCTGAGACATCGTTCCTCCAATGCCGTTGGGCAAATATTGGCGCCAGCAATTTTGTTTTGATGATTTTCACACAAGCAAGAAATGGAGATCAATAAGCAAGAAATAAGTATAAGAAGAAAATCAAGAATTTGTTTCGTGAGTATGCTATACTGAATGGGACCACTGATAACCCGGATTCCACTATTACGAACTTAACCGGCCGAGAACTTACCAAAGAAGAAAAATCAGTGT